TTTGGTGTTGTTGTTTTTATATACATCCGGTTTTTTTTGTGGAAAATACTTGGTGTTACCACGGAAAAAAAAAAAAAAAAAAAAAAAAAATTTTCTCATTTTCTATAACGTGTTCAATCCAATGGGAAGAACTGAAAAGTGCATGTATAGAACCAGTAGCCATCACGAAGGCATCAGTGTTGAAGGCTTCAAAACACATATGACAAGTAACAATTCTTTAGGTACCTGTATGCCTGTTTGTCAAGTTGTGTTCAATAGGCGCGTCAAATAAACTTCCCAGAAGCTGGCACTAATCTTATCGGGACTCTTCTAAAGTGCGTTACTTGAATGCATATTTGGTCAAGTAACTTTGGTAGATGGGAAGTCAATGCATCTCCACCGCCATTGTTTGGCGGGCTATTTCTAGTAGCCCAATAATTTTATCCTAACCCAGTGGTTCTCAATCTTTTTCTTAGTACCACGATCCCTTTATAACATTTGCCGAGTTTCACGACCAGCAACCAGAAGCGTACCTTGAAATTAAGAAACAGATGTCGAGGATGAGGGGGGGGGTGGAGCTTTTTTGTAGATAAAAAGGTGTTGATGCTGTGTGAGTTTGATCGTGGGTGGGGGGGGGGGCTGAAATGATGGCACTGGAGGGGTCTGTAGAAAGTTCTCGGTAAGTCAGTCACCATAATTGTGTTTTTATTAATTCACTCATCTTATTACATGTTGTCGAGGATGAGGGGGGGGGTGGAGCTTTTTTGTAGATAAAAAGGTGTTGATGCTGTGTGAGTTTGATCGTGGGTGGGGGGGGGGGCTGAAATGATGGCACTGGAGGGTTCTGTAGAAAGTTCTCGGTAAGTCAGTCACCATAATTGTGTTTTTATTAATTCACTCATCTTATTACATGTATAATTTTTATTTTAAATTTCACTCACATAAAAATAAAAAATTAAACAACGAAAGAAACAAGTAAATCATATTTAGCCTAAAGTTAGTTTTTCATAATGAACAGAAATTGTCAAAATATCAAGAAAAAATAGTAAATTCTCAAGCGACCCCTCACATTTTTTTGTCAGGTGATCCCCCACTGGGTCGTGAGTTACAGGCTGAGAACCACGGACCTAAACTATAAAAATAACAAACAATTAAAGATTGAGGGGTGTGTTGCTGGTCGCTGGGTGGTAGCAGTTGTTTTTTTTTTTTTTTAATGATGTCAATGTACGCATATAATTTTAACAAAAATGTTAATCATCATCATGGCGATACCACCCTAGCCTTCCTGTTGACCATCTCTTTGAAGAAGATGAAAAAAAAGTCTATATTTCTTGAACAACATCAACACACACACACAAAAAAAAGTCTATATTTCTTGAACAACATCAACACACACACACAAATGTTCACGGCATTTAAACAGCAATCTATAGCAGCAGAACCTACACGACTTGGCCATAGGGTTTCTTTCAGCTACATGTCGGGGGGGGGGGAGCCAAGTGCCCCCGCGGAGCAAAAATACGTCCAACAATAAATGAACTGGAACTGCTGGCACTGCCCCCCCCCCCCCCCCCCCCCCCCACCGCCCCCCCCCCCCCCCCCCCCCCCCCCCCCCCCCCGGGGGGAAATTTCTGAAAGAAACACTGCAAGTTGGCCCATGACCGGTACACGGACTATATACATAGCATGCTTGTTTAACTCAAGGGTTTTTTTTTTGCTGCTGTTGTATTCCATTGTATTTACGAGCCATGTTCGCTGCATTATCACGTGACTTTCAATAGCATTTGCTGCAATCAACTTTGCAGTCCTTGCTCAGATAATCATCCACCAATCTACCTGCAAGTTTAACATGCAACAATTGCATTTTAAGATGCGGGAGTGTGAAAAAATAGGTTAAAGAAAAAAGGGGTAAAAAGAAAAATTGAAGAAATTTTTATTCAGTAAAATATGTCTTTTCTAGAACTAATGAGCTAATACTAGGCACATTTATAATAGAAAAGTCTTTACTGGATATGTCTTTTTTTTAGTACACCTACACATGACTTTTCTAGAAGATCTATTCTATTTAATAGACATACACATAACTTTTCTAGAAGATCTATTCTATTTAATATATCTATTCTAGCCACTTCCATACATAAATATAGGATAGGTTACATATTTAAATTACTAGCATAGTGAATAAGAGAGAAGGCCTATCAGATTTGTTGGGGGTTCAAATGGTTATCTCACTTTCAAAGCAAATTAAGGGGACGATAAATTAAAATTGGATCCTGTACACAATATTGGTGTATTGTACCAAAATATAAGATACTCTACAAAAACATATTGTACGAAAACAATTGATAGGCCTACTAAGCCTACTGCGCAAATAAGGCAACGTTCACTGTAAAAAAAAATATTGCATACTGTTTTAAAGATAAATTCTAAGAAAATTGAAAGCGTAACTTAAATAAATGTTGAAAAAATAAATTAGTAAATTACACCGACATGTTGTCAATGATGATTTTTATGCACATAGTGATTGGATAAAGGGAAAATAGTCAGTTTTATGAAACATAAAACAACCAATTTTAAATTAAGAGTAGCCTCTCTTTAAAGCAGCGCGCGGCTTGTCTTCATTCGTGTTCTAAATTCATCAACAGTAGTTAGCGATAAGTTAGCGATGTACTCAGGATAGGTAGACTACAGCAACTTTAGCAAACATGTTTTTTTTATTTCATAGGGGACGTTTTTGTGTTCTGAAATTTTGGATTCGCGTTGATTTTTTTTTTCAAAGTGAACTTAAGAAGATTGTATTTCTCGATGAAATATCATATTAATTATATCATCGTCATATGAATATGACTACACTACACTACTAATACTAATACCAATGCCAATAATACATAGACATAGTACAGCAGTTTTGTCCACTTGGACTTGAACTTAATATTAAGTCGTCAACTTGAGTAGAGACTTTCACTTAGACCTATGAAAATGAATGATTTAAATGGTTATTTCAGATTATGTTGTAACAGACATGATAGTAAATACCAGACATAAATCTTAGATAGCCAAAATAGCTATTACTATTAAGAGCCAAAATAGCAATTAATTAAGTTTAAGTCATTAATTATTAATTAGCCAACGCCTACACTAAAACTATAATCAGGTAACCCTACTATTATAATTATTAATTAATACAATACAGTTTATGTCATGGACTTAGGACTTAGACTTAATAAAAAATTATTACTCATTGTTGATTAGCCTAAAACTTTTTTTTTTTAAACAAGGAATAAGGTATTTCAATAGTTTTGAATAGATATTAAATATTGTTTAAGGCCTGCCCTATTGACTATTAGTGTTTTTTGTATTGAATTGGCCAATCAATAATTTTTTTTTTTAATTAAAAGGACAAAATTATCTGCTGAAAATGTTTGTACCACCTTGTCAACACTTTTGTAATATTTGTTATGTGTCTGAGTCTGACCTACTACTTGCAACAACATAGTGTAAGCCTGCAAGTACAACAGCTACATACTACACCATGATTCAAATTCTCAAGTGCTACAATCGCAGCCTCTAAGTCTTTATCAGTTAATGACTCTGTCACTGTCCAAAATAGTAACATTTTTATATATTTTTTTTATAGTTATACTATGCAAGAAAGGGCACATTAATTCTGAACAGACATAAGTCAACAACATAACCACCATCTGCATTTAATTTACCAAGAAAGGCATTTAATTTACCCATGGTCAAAGGCAATAGTCATAGTAGGCCTATATTATATAGTATTGGGCTAAAACATTAACTCATTAACATTTGTAGTAAATTTGAGGTTAATTTTTAATGTTATCACTTGGATGAGAGAAAAGTTTAACAAAAACAAGTTAACCATCAAAGTGCAAATTCAAATAGGAATGAATTCTCAATGCTACATTCTAGTTCTATAGAATAACTACTTCATTTTGATATGCTTCAATGCTTCAAAATCAAAATGCTTTTCAGACTCTGTGTAGTGAAGTAGTCTTATCAATGGTTTTTAGTTGCTTTTATACTGATACTGTAATGCTAGGATATGATTTGGGGTCACTGAAATTGATGTGTGACTGCAACACCAGCTGTTACTGAAGAAATGACAGTTCTTCTACCTGCCCTGTGTATACTCAGTGTGTCAGTCATCTCCTGTGTCCTGTGTTAAGGCCCAAAATAAGCACAGCCTCCTGTGTTTGGCAACTCTGAGTTGGGGGTGGGGGTAGTGAATAAAGTGAGACTTGTTAAGGTTTCTACTGGTCTGGTTGGGAAGGCTTGAGAGTGTAAATAAATTCTTATCATTTTTTTATCAGTTGTACTTATTGAATGCAAGTTCTACGGATTTGATGTTTATTTATATGAAGATGTTATTCAAATTGCTATGGCTCATTGGAAATGATAGGTGTATTGAGAGAGGATAATGTCTTATTAGTATTATTAGCATATCATGAATATCCTACTTTAAAAGTGCTTTGCATCGAGGAGCAGTCCAATTTATAATTATTCACTCATATCCCTTTTTATGTGTAATGATGAAGCACATGTAGTCTAAGCCAAACTGTCATATTTAAAAGAAGTGGATTATTGCAGACATAAATATAAACAAAAAACATTATTGCTTCTCTCTCTCTCTCTCTCTCCCCCCCCCCCCCCCCTTTTTTTTTTTACTGTCAGGGTCATATGAATGCAAATTATAATAATATAGTCTTGTATATTAAACTTGAGTGTCCCAATTCTTGAGATAAGACATTCCTTTAGTCATGTCTCAGCATTATTAGTATCAGTGGTGGTTGTGTTAGGAAGATTAGGTCGCATTAAATAATTGATGTGCTCTTTTTTTTATCCATTTTGTCCTCTGCCCTGCAGATGATTTGTGTAAGCCTTGCATGTTGTCATTTCTTGTGTCTTTTGGTAGGTGGTGTATTTTTTTAATTCATGAAGACTAGAGGATTAATTCTAGGAGCTGTGGAAAAGTTTGTGATGCACATTTTTCTTTTTTTAAGTTGTTTCAATGGAACTCACCAACTGACTTCTGACAAATTGTCAATTTTTGTGTCATTGCCAGTGGTGGCCGATGATGAGGCTCAGCCATTAACTTATTACCTCACTGGCAGTGGTATGTGGTGATGAGGCTCATGGTGCTGATGAGTGTGACTAGGGCAGATGGAAACAACTTGCCTGATAGCTGATACAGCAGCGGACGAAGATGTAGATTCAATACCTATGGTCACCTTCCATGTACCCGACACCCACCAGCTGTTCGGGAATGAATACAGCAGGCTACCATCATCCGACAAGGCTCCAACAGAAATGCTCCCATCTCCAGAGGATGCGCTGTTCCCCATTGATGAGGGAGCATGGAGCGGCTTCAGTACTTCACCTCATCGTGAGTACTCCATCCAGACTCTAGAGAACTGTGTCATCAATCATGGGTATGAAGAGGAGGGGCACCTGTATTTCCCCATTGATGAAAATGCATGGGGTCAAGACCATTCAGCTGGTGCAGCTTCACCTGACAGTGAAGCACTCGTCTTGGAGGAAACAGACGGCCGGGTTACTTTTCATAACTCAGGCTCCACCTTATCAAAGGGTTTCAGATCTCATTGGTGGAAGCGCCCTAAAACATTGAAACTCCACAGAGGTAGTTGTCCACCACCCGAAGCTCGTAGCCCTGTTTCTTCAAGTCCGGGGTGCACCAACGGGATCGTTTCCCTTTCATCGAGTTCAAATATCAACCGAGGCTTCCAAGATTTTGATGACCACGGGACATTCAACCACAGGGTTGACAGATTCGAGCTGGACACGGCCATGCTGTTCCGCTCACTCAGTCAACCGAAGCAGAGTAAGAAAAGTTTCTGGTCTTCTTTGCTCTGCATGTGGTGTCGGAACTGCTCAGCGCCCTGTCGTTGTGTCTGCTGTTCTTGTCGGTGTAGCGGTAATGATGAGGTTGGTCTGTTTCAACTTTTGGTTGTTTTGTGAACATTTAATCTTATATTACTAACCCTAGGCTACTTATAGTTTAGATTTTTTTTTTTAATGATGTTAAAGTGCTACTTGACTCTGTGAAGGGTTGAGTGCATACACTACGATGTCTTGTTACTACTTTGTCATTGTCAGTGGTACCGGTGTGTAGTTAACTACCAATACATCATTATGTTATTTTCTTGTTTTCTTGCTATAGTTAACCATACAAAAACTCAGGAATGCTCCAAAATTAAACAGGAATGTCCTAAGCAAAACATCTTGTAGACCTTGTGCATGAGTTCATCTAACATGGATAGTTATATTTAACTGTATAGAAATGCAAACCAAAAATTTCCTGGGCTCTGAGTTACCTGTTTAGACTTGTATCCCCATTCTCACCTTACTTGTATCAATGCTCCGAGTATCTTATTCCTTTGCTCCCGTTTTAAATTACGCATGAGGATTCTTAACATTCGATAAATGATGCTGCGCTCTGTGGCAAAGGTTTATCCCGTTCATTTACTTGGGGCATATTTTAGTAGAGCATTTACTGATGTATGTGTTTCAGGGCCATATCTACTGATAACACATTGTCACAGAACGGTTGTTACGGAGGAGGGCTCCGGTCCTGACTTATCACAAACTGCAGTGATGTAGTAGTGTTCAGTACAGGACCGCTCTGTGATTATACTGTGGGTGTCTAGGCGTTGGGACAGACGAAGCACAACGACTTGAACGAAAACGAAGACTAACAACTCCAGGTGTCCAGATGATAAGAGAATGTATTTATTTCTAAGATATAAGTTCTTCTGTTGGTGCCGTCAACTGTCTGTCTCTACAGCTATGACTTTCTGAACTGTTTCGTCTCAACTATTCCTACGCTTCACTAGTCAACTCGTCTTCTGATCTCTTGCGACTATTCCCTAGCAACCGCTCAACTCTATCGTAGCTCTTTTCTCTCTTCCTCAACTCACCCCCTATCTTGAAAAGTTCCGTCTTATATGCGATTCTCTACCTCCATAGGTGGCCCCAGGAATGCTCTCAATTAACCCATCCCTGCCCCTAATTTCCGGTCAATTAGAACTTCCCGTCGTTAACCCAACAGTTATCATGCCAAGTAATGGACAAAAACCACCCCCACTATCTCCAAGATGCGACAATCTATTAACCTTAATTTACCCCCTTAACAATGGCGTCCCTAAACTAACAACAGTTTCCGTCCATCCTATAAGTTAGCTTAACCACAATGGAGCTCTGTCCCGTACCCACGTCCCAGTTATTTGTGACCCACATTATTATATATGTACACATCTTCATCTAAAAAAACACACACACCATGAAGCTGTTATGAAGTAAGATTTAAACAAAACTAAGTAAACATATTTCAAATTTGGCTCAAACAATGTCAGTTAAAAATAAACCTGGACAGAGTTCTGACGTCACGCAGGAAAGCTCGCTGGGTTGTTTGTTTTTGTTTGTTTGTTTTTTTGTTGTTTGTTTGGGCCACTCAATACTAACACAATACAATTGCTATAAAACGTGTGGAGTTGGGGGAGTGCCGGTTGTGAAGAGGGAGCAGGACACGCAAGGAGCAGAAGAGATTAATCTTCTTTAAAAATGTGATCAAATAACTTTAAGGTCAGAAGTTCTTTCTCTGGTAAAATACTACATTGAATAACGCCCACTTTCGCAGCGTGTTCCCTTTCTGTGCTGAGAACGTCTAGTCTAAACTATCTAGTCTGTCTTGCCACTAGGCGCTAAAGTTACAATTTGTGTTTGAGAGTTATACTAGTTTTTCTTGGGCCAAGCCGGGTACCTGAATATTCCGAGCACTTACATACCCGGCTAGCACTTACATACCCGGACCCGGCAAAAAAAAACAGAAACGGGTCAGGGTGTTAAAAAAATCAAAGCCACGTTTATTTTAACTTTTTTTTTGTAAATACCGGTAGATATTACCTGAAATTTTTTAATAATAGTAATGTAATTTAAATTGCAATAATTAATAAGCGGAGCCGCTGGCTCAACGGAAGGATGGCTAAGATGGTACCGCTGTCCATGCCCATGGACACCATGGTGATGAAATAAATATTTATTAAAATAATATGCGTATGTTGGTATCAGTCAAATAGAAACTGCCACCAAACAGCAACAAGCAATATCAGCAACACTGACGAAACTTCTTCTCAATGACATTGTTTGATTTTTCTGTTTATGAGAAACGGCATTGGTTCTCAACTTGTGGGTCACTACCCTCTTGGGAGTCCACTTTGCTGGTTGTATTCATGTACTTTTCACTTCTCCCCTTTGGGCGGAACACATTTCTAATCTTCTATAGATCATTTCTAAATTGTAATACCCGGACTAGTACCCCCCTGGTATTGTCTCAAAATACCCGGACTTGTACCACCGGGTATTGTCTCAAAATACCCGGATTGTGTATAAAATCCCTGGCTTTTACCTCTCCGCTCATGGCCCTGTCATTGACAAAGCAAGACTATGAGATGTACAATGAGGGACTCCGGGGTGATATAGCAAGAGAACTATGTTCGATGAGCAAACGATAACTCAACAATTTGATAGTCTCTACCGTAATTTCTTAAGAATCAGTGGAAAGCCTCAGAGCCGAGTTCCCCAACATGTCTGTCCCCCGTGGTCCATTTATTTGTAGCTTTAGGCTTATGCTTCGTAAGCCACTTAAATACTGGCCTTTTTATATCTCTATAATAATTGACCAGTAGACGTTGTCCGCCACCATGAAGAAAGGTAAAACATAAGGGTTTGTGGGTTTTTTTACTGCTTAACTACCTCAAAATATAAAAAAAATTACATTTACATTATTTCAAATTTTAAAACAATGTATCCTTTATGTTGTAATGTAATATTAGCGATTCCCCATTCTTTCTCTCTCTCTCTCTCTCTCTCTCTCTCTGTCTGTCTCTCTCTCTGTCTGTCTCTCTCTATGTCTCTCTGTCTCTCTCTCTCTCGCTCTCTGTCTCTCTCTCACACACACACAAATTCTTTTGATGGCCTCTCGGACACTACTTTTCAGCTAAGTGCTATTTTTTAAACATTAATTCTGGGGGGTGGGGGTGTTTCTGTTTGTTCGCAGACGATGGCTTCCTGCCGACACGTTCTTTCGTTGTTTTATTGCGTTCCTTTTTTTTTTTTTTCCTTCAGGTTTTCCCTTCCTTTGTTTTTATTTTTTTAAGTGCTATTTTTTAAACATTAATTCTGGGGGGTGGGGGTGTTTCTGTTTGTTCGCAGACGATGGCTTCCTGCCGACACGTTCTTTCGTTGTTTTATTGCGTTCCTTTTTTTTTTTTGTCCTTCAGGTTTTCCCTTCCTTTGTTTTAATCATTTCCTACATTGTGTAAGAGAAGTCTCAGAGAGCATTCTAGGTTGAGAAGATTTGATAAGCCATTTCGAATAAGCATAAGACATAAAACCAATGACAAATGTATAGCTCCTTTTAATATTTGACCTTTCAATTGAAGTGACCCAGGCCTTTATCTGTCAACTCCTGGTGTGCGGCCATGGATTAAGACAACGTATTTTCCTCTTTTTTTATATAGTTTTTTTTTTAAAGTGTCTACATTTTAAACGCGCATGTCTAAACAAATGTACTATAATCTTTTAGTTTACGGTATTTAAATAAAACCAAACTAATTTCTACTTGCGATATTTACCCAACGCGCCGAACAGAACCCGAGCAGTCAGTGGCGTGGCGAAGGGGAGTGTGGGGGGGGGGGGATATTTCCCAGGCGCAAGGACGTGCAGCTCAACGTGATCTTTAATGGGATTTCTGGCGCACATCTGGTCTAGTGTAGGCTGTCAATCTGTGGTATTTTTGAGACGGTGTTAACACTTAAACACATTTTTGTAATTGTAAGCACAAGCAGAGAGATGAAGCAAAATTCAAGTGATTCTGTGTTCTTTTGAAGGTCGAGGCTTCAAAAATAATTATTTTAATTTTTTTTTATATTAGACAAGACTTGAATTGGCTCTTATCACTACCATACACTTACCTAACGATGGCATGTGATGCTACCATACTTACATAACGATGACATATGATGCTACCATATACTTACATAACGATGGCATTGGATGCTACCATACACTTACATAAGGATGGCATGTCATGCGACCATACACTTACATAACGATGGCATGTGATGCTACCATACACTTACATAACGATGGCATGTGATGCTACCATAAACGTACATAACGATGGCATGTGATGCTACCATAAACGTACATAACGATGGCATGTGATGCTACCATAAACGTACATAACGATGGCATGTCATGCGACCATACACTTACATAACGATGGCATGTCATGCTACCATACACTTACAGAACCATGGCATGTCATGCTACCATGCACACTTCACATGTTAAGACCATCGGGTTGTGCAGTCCCTCTTTCTGTGCTTACGGACAAACGAGCTTCTCACCACCCTCTCCCCACCCCCTTTCCCTTTTTTATAACACTTAAAAAGAAAGCTGTTTGGTTCATCCGCACTAAATAACTATGTCACAAATTATTTCAAGCTCACGGGGGCATATCAAAGGAGACGATGAACTAAAGCTGTTACATAATACTAAATTAATAGTGCTGTAGCGACATGGACTCAGGCGTAGACAAGGGGGGGCACGGGGGCATATCAAAGGAGACGATGGACTAAAGCTGTTACATAATACTAAATTAATAGTGCTGTAGCGACATGGACTCGGGCGTAGACAAGGGGGCACGGGGGCATATCTCCCCGGGTGCCAAACTGGTGAGGGGCGCCAAAATGAGCTTTGGTGGTATTTTATTGATGTAAATAACAGGTATCGGAGTTGGGTGGGTGGCGTAAATATTAATCTTGTACCCGGGCGCCATAAACTTAAGCTGCGCCTCTGCACCTACTGCCTAGCTCATTCATTGTGGACACACAATCACACAGCCACGGTATGCCATCATTACGGTCCATTGTCGTGATATTTGTAGAGACTCTGAAAATGATTAGAAAATGTGTTGACTGATTTTTTTGGGGGGGACCATTGGCTATAGTACATGAACCCAAAATATTTACACACACACACACACAAAATACATCTTACAGTCGTTACTCTTTCGGTCGTCGCGCGCCGAAATAGGCCAACCCATTCAGCACAACAAAAGGCTGTACACTCTCAACGTGATACTGTGTCGGCCAATGTCATGTCACGACACACTGCCAAAGCCTGGTGTGTGTAGCGAAGGTGCTCCCGACACGGGTGTTATTTCCTCTACTGTGCTTTTACCAGCCCATTAACTGCATAGGGTATAAACCTATCATCTGTCCAGCGGTCTGGGCTTGACACTGGGATGTAAGATAACAGTTGATCGAATCTCTCCATGCATGGCATGGGCTTGCTATATTTCAAAATAATAAGTAAACAAAATGCTTTGAGATTTTCTAGAATGATCGCTGGACGAAGTACTCTGATGACCATTTACATTTCCACAAACAAACAAAAAATGTCTCACATTTCGTGAATGTTCCTACATAGAAATGCATCAGTTCTGACGATTAGACATTTGCATTGTTAAACACCCCCCCCCCCTCCTCCCCCATATTCCCTCACATGGCTAAGGTTGGCCCATTCTAGTTGTGCATAACTAACAACACTGTCATAATAATGGTCGGTGATTGTATTCAGGATATGTATGAATATGATGGTGATTGGATGCATGACATGGATGAGTGGGGTGGTGATTAGATGCAGGATATGGATGAGTGGGATGGTGATAGTATGCAGGTTAAGATGGTGATTGGATTGCCACTATCTATAAATGAGTTTGTTATGAACATCTACTAGTCTATAAGAATGAATGTGTTGTAATTTTTTATCTACTATTTGTAAATGTGTGTTTTAATTGGATATCTACTATTTGTAAATGTGTTTGTAATTGTATATCTACTATTTGTAAATGTGTGTTCTAATTGGATATCTACTATTTGTCAATGTGTTTGTGATTTGATATCTACTATTTGTCAATGAATATGTAATTGGATATCTGCTTATCTGTGAATGTTTTGGTAAGTTATGGAGTAGCTTTGATCCTGTAACACTTGTCGTTTTGTCTATCCGATGAATGTACATGACGTTGTGTGCAAATTAAAGATCAGATTATCGGTGACGTCGCAAAGATCCATTTTCTCTTGGAGTTTGACGTCTGTTGCACTACTTCGCTACCTTCCTATTTGTCTGGAGTAATGATCACCGAGATTGAGTGGCACTGCATGAGGTTCCAACCAGTTTTGAAATCAAGCACTGCATGAGGTGCCAACCAGTTGTGAAATGTAGCACTGCATGAGGTGCCAACCAGTTGTGAAGTGAAGCACTGAATGAGGTGCCAACCAGTTATGAAATCAAGCACTGCATGAGGTGCCAACCAGTTATGAAATGAAGCACTGCACGAGGTGCCAACCAGTTATGAAATGAAGCACTGCATGAGGTGCCAACCAGTTGTGAAGTGAAGCACTTACGTAAATAGAACGGTTTAGAATGTAGACCTCTTATTGCTGCTGGTATTGTGGTGGTCTGGCAAATTACTCGTGTTTAATTATAAGATAAGTATAGATATTTTCGCCCACTGAACTAAGCTCCACAAGTAGTTGCCGTCAGAGTTGCCAGTAACACATTTGTAACAGGTTCTAGTGATGTGTGATTAATTGGGCTGTCGCCGGGTACCCTGGCAGGTGTTTTAAACACTTTAGACAGCCCTAGTGATAAACTCTATAAAAAAAAAAATACTTTACCCCAAGTGTTCGTAAAATACATGTGTTTGCTGATGAAGGCATTTAGTCGATACGCTACTTTGAGATGGTCGTCTTCAGTCGTTATTCCGGCGTCCACGTACCATCTTAAGTTGTATGCAAAGCCGTCGCGCAGGCCCTGCAACTTCTGTGGCTACAGGGGTGGGGGATGGGGGCTGCTTGATATGTAAGGGGCCCAAGGTTGTAATGCGGAACAAACTATAAACTTTAAATGCAGGGGGCACAAAAGCAAGAAGACTCTCGACGGCTGGAGGGGAGGGGGGGGCATGCCTTCGTTCAGGTTATGTTAGACTAGGGTGACCAAACGTGCCGTAAAAACGGGATTATCCCGTTGTTATCCCGATCGTACCCGTTGTCCCGAAAAAGTCTCGGGACGAGTCTCGGGACGCCTAAATGTCCCGTTTTTTTAAACCAAACCCATTTTCAAATCACAAAAACTTCCTAAGTTATAATATAACTTCTAGTACCGGTAATATTTTCGCTAGCTGTGTAGCCAGTGCCAGTAGTGATGTGGGCTCGCGTGATGGCTGCACTGTTCCCCCTCCACCAGTGTCCCTGCCATAGGTCTTATATGTAAATTTATAGCGAAAGACATGAGACTTGAAGAAAAGGGGGGGGGGGGGGGGGAGAGAGGATGTAACTGCGCGCAGAAAACAATTTTTATTCCGCTACCGCTACGTTTAATGTGTTGGTCTTGTGTGTGATCCCTGCCGGCCTGGTCGTGTCAGAGTGACAGTCTTGTGTGTGATCCCTGTCGGCCTGTTCGTGTCAGAGTGACAGGTGTTTGTTTTCGGTGTTGCACTTTATCCTTTAATTTTATATTATCTTCTCATGTAAACAATAATGATGCCCAAGCGTCAATGTAAGTTTATGGAGGAGTATTCCAAAGAGTGGAACTATATTAAAAAGGACGCTATGATAGTGAAGCCGAGTGCACAGTTTGCAATAATGTTTTTAGTATTGGTATTTTCTCTTCTCCCCCCCCCCAACCCCCACACCCCCCAGGCCGTCCTTGAAAGTGTCCCGTTTTTTCAATTTCATGATTAGGTCACCCTATGTTAGACTAGCTTTATTTCATTGATATCAGCTTGCTTGTGTTGAGTTTGTTGTCCATGTTTAGTGAAGAGGGGGTTTTTAACTTATGTAATCTGATGCAGCGGAGGTCTGTGTTAAACTACCCCCAGTCTCTGGCCATGTTTACATAATTCATGCTGTGGAGATCGACACTCGGTGAATGTGTAACGGGGTCAGTTTTTATTGACATGCTTGAGAGAGAGAGCGAGCGCTCCTGTGAACCGATAAGGAGAGACACATGTCCATGTTTGTCTGACACTAATCTTTATGTTAGGTTTAGGTTTACTTTATGCCCGTAGTCTCCACGCAGGCATCTAAATCTACTTTTTTTTTTTTTTTTTTTTTTGTTGTAGGCCTATAGAATTGAATTTGATTTTAGAAATGGATGGGTTGTATTTGGGATTTTTTTTTTTTTTTTTTTGATGTAGGCCTATAGAATAGAATTTGATATTAGAAATGGATGGGTTGTATTTGAGATTTATTTTTTTTTTTAAAAAGAAGAAGAAGAATTAAAGTGGAGACCTTGGCTATCAGATTAAACCTAGCTCCTTCCATTTATAACTCCAAAAAAATGTGTGATGTAGCTTGGCTCGCCCCGGGTGGCAGTAATCCTAGCTACGCCGCTGTATATTGTAAGACAGTCTGTTAAAACTAGCTACTAGCCTACTAGCTATCATCTGATTTCGCTCTGGCGTATTTGTTTTTTATATATTATACAACAATATTTTTTTTTAAAGTAATATGTTTTACTATATAAAAAATGTTTACGAAATATGATTCTTAATTTTAATTAGGTCTCCATTCTATACATTGATGTCTTAAAGTAGCTATGAATGCAGATAGGCCTCCATTCTATACATTGATGTCTTAAAGTAGCTATGAATGCAGATAGGCCTCCAGTCTATACATTGATGTCTTAAAGTAGCTATGAATGTAGACAGGTCTCCAGTCTATACATTGATGTCTTAAAGTAGCTGTGAATGCAGACAGGTCTCCAGTCTGTACATTGATGTCTTAAAGTAGCTATGAATGCAGATAGGCCTCCAGTCTATACTCATTGATGTCTTAAAGTAGTTATGAATGCAGACAGGCCTCCAGTCTATACTCATTGATGTCTTAAAGTAGTTATGAATGCAGACAGGCCTCCAGTCTATACATTGATGTCTTAAAGTAGCTATGAATGCAGACAGGTCTCCATTCTATACATTGATGTCTTAAAGTAGCTATGAATGCAGATAGGTCTCCAGTCTATACATTGATGTCTTAAAGTAGCTATGAATGCAGACAGGCCTCCAGTCTATATATTGATGTCTTAAAGTAGCTATGAATGCATTCAAGTCCAAGCCATTCCCATTTTAACTCACCCAGAGAATCTATTTTCAGAGCATTGTGTAACCGCTATTTATTTATTTGGTTCTATGTTATTTATTTCTTTGGTTCTATGCTATTTATTTATTTGATTTTATGTTATTTATTTCATTGGTTCAATGCTATTTATTTCTTTGGTTCAATGCTATTTATTTCTTTGGTTCAATGCTATTTATTTCTTTGGTTCAATGCTATTTATTTCTTTGGTTCAATGCTATTTATTTCTTTGGTTCAATGCTATTTATTTCTTTGGTTCTATGCTATTTATTTCGTTGGTTCTATGCTATTTATTTCTTTGGTTCAATACTATTTATTTCTTTGGTTCTGAGCTATTTATTTCTTTGAGTCTATGCTATAAATTATAAATATAGTTTTTTTTTTAAATTGTAATGGATATTTTCTTAAATTTAAAAATTATATTGTGTATTGAACCTTAGGTCTGGGCCTAAATCATTAGTTTGTAAACCATCCTTTCAATATGTTTAAATAGCACATCCTTCAACCTTATCAGCAATGGGTTCAACAACAAAAATATTTAAAAAGACAACTATGAAACACCTGCGTTCAAGATGTCAAGATGGTTTCGCAACGTTAATTCATTTGCCAATGATACTCTCTAAGTTTGATAATTTGTAAATGTGCGACCGTTAGGGTGAAGTGATTCTGATCAAACTTCACTTGAACCATCTTACTTTATGTTTGGAGGAATGGTGAGGAGCCATACTTCGGTTTTAATGTCTACCACGAGTATATATAAACATTTGTCCCATTATAAGTTAGATGTTATGTGAACTCTGCATGTTGCTGTGTGTTCTGTGTAAGCTGTTTGTTTTTCTATGTAAGCTGTGTGTTTTTCTATGTAAGCTGTGTGTTCTGTGTATGAGTTACACGCATTTCAACACTTACTCTTATTTCATTTATGATTGCTCTTCTAGTAATTTTACCTCCTCCAGTAATGTCAACTCCACCACTAATTTTTCCTCCAACAATAATGTCACCCCCTTTAGTGCTGATTCTTATAAATGCAATTGATAGACATAATACATGTTTTTACACCTGCATTAATTAAAAAAAATTTAATAAGCACTCCCCCCATGTTACAAGATGCTCACATATCAACCCAGATCTGGTATTGATTTTGTAACTCCCCCCATGTTACAAGATGCTCACAGATCAACCCAGATCTGGTATTGATTTTGTAACTCCCCACATGTTACAATATGCTCACAGATCAACAAAGATCTGGTATTGATTTTATAACCCCCACATGTTACAAGTTGCTCACACATCAACCAAGATCTGGTATTGATTTAGTAACTCCCCACATGTTACAAGATGCTCACAGATCAACAAAGATCTGGTATTGATTTTATAACCCCCACATGTTACAAGTTGCTCACACATCAACCAAGATCTGGTATTGATTTAGTAACTCCCCACATGTTACAAGATGCTCACAGATCAACCCAGATCTGGTATTGATTTAGTATCTACTTTGAATGTTTCAGAAAGGTGTTGGGTTTTTCAAGATGGCCAAACAGAAGCTTCTAGGCCAATTGCACACTGTTCAGATCATCATTAGTTTAATCATTGTGGTGCTCTCTGCCATGGTCTTCTTCCCATTGGGCTTCAACTTCAGGAACTTCAATGACCAGTGTCTGCTGTACTCTGATATCTACCTGACATGGTAATGTTACATCATTGTTACATTGGGTCTGTAGTGAAAGTCCTTAACCTAGAAGAGATATTGCCTAGAAGAGAGATTGCCAGAGGTTTAAAGCTATTAATCAGACAAAGAGTCACACACAATATAGCAAATGTAAAATTGTTTTGATATCATAAAAATACAGGGATAAATAGCCAATTTATTAACAACACATCACCCTGGGGAGAGTGAAGTTGAGAGATCTGGTTTGGGAAGAAGTTATAGAGCAGGGATGAGATGAGAGTGCAGTGGCTTGAAGGATATACTATAATAAAGCAAAATTGCTTTTTTAACTAGTTATAATCTTTATTAAGATTCCTTTATTGATCCAAATAAATGTTTTTGATAATATTGTACATGTTCATTTTTATCATAAATATAAATAAATTCTTAACAAGACATTTTAAAACTAGAACAAATTAAACACAAGACATCTGAAATATTTCTCAAGAGCAAAATTCAGCTGTCATGTACCATAAAAATTCATTCCTTGAATGACAGCAATGACTTAATTAGTGATCATTTAGATTTTGTAACTGCTGTGGGAACATGCTGACAGACTGGGGAAAAAATAAATTTTTATTTTCTTTCTGTCCTAACTTTAAGAGAAAGAGTTCGCCCTGATTGAGCTGATCTTAGTAATACATTAAAATTAAGCATAGATTATCATTAAATTAATTTTTTAATTGATATAAATAAATGAATGGCTCCGTTTTGTTTAGCTGCAACCCCTCCCGACCAGATCTTCCCCTCCCCACCAGATCTTCCCCTCCCGACCAGATCTTCCCCTCCCCACTAGATCTTTCCCTCCCCACCAGATCTTTCCCTTCCCACTAGATCTTCCCCTGTCCACCAAACCAACCCTACTCCTGTGATGTTTAATAATTATAAAATTTGCGACCTTAATTTAGTCTTTAAAGAGTTTAACTCAAGTTAATATCATGTGTATTAATTGTATGTAATCCTACAGGATTAATGAGACAGCTGGCAGCATCAATCTAGAGCTGACTTCATTTGGTGACCAGGATTACTGCAACTACACCACATTCATCAATGTTGTCGTGGCCATTGCCAGCGTCATCTTCATATGGTTCTTCATCCATGCTAAAAGTGAAGAGAACACAGAGCAGTGAGTTGTTTCAAATAACTTTCAGTCCAGCTTTAATCTAACTTTAAGTTATTGAGCTATTGTCTGACCCAAACCTGTTCACTTGTCAAAGTTGGCCTTAAGGGACTACTGGCTTGAGTATTTTGTCAAAAATTTTTATCTATTTCCTTTAGTTTTATAAACATATTTTCTTGAGTTTTTCCTGATGAAAACATTGTTCAGCAAAGCATCCATATAAATCATGCTTGTTGGAAACTTATAATTAGAAACCCATGAATTTGTGTCACTAGAAGTAACACTTAAACCATCTCCGTTTAGTCCAGTCCTAAATATTGTCAAAGTCGTCCGGAAAACGTATTGGAGTTAACGGGCCACAGAAACGTTTTGCTGATAAATATTGGCGATGAAAGGTCAGACTGAGCCTTGGGAACGCTACAATTGTATTGAGACAACTAATAAATCTATTAATGATGCACAAGCTATTATAATGTTACAACTGTATTGAGAAAACTAATAAATCTATTGACAATGCACTAGTTATTATTATAATTTTACAATTGTAAGGATCAAACTAAACCCAATGACCCTATAGGAGTTGTTGTTACACTACATACTGACAAATCTGATGACTGAAGCTAAGATTAAATCTTGTTGTCCAGCTCTGAAGTGAAGCTCCAGCTGCCCGTTCTCCTGGTCAACTTTGGAATGTTCATCTGCATCCTGGTCTCTAGTTCTAGGATCTCCACTGGTTTCAACACTTGGTGCTCTAACATTGTCCGCAACAACCCCTTGAAGCTTGGCAAACTGTAAGCGTTTTTTCTTCTTTCACTTTCTGCTCCCAGTTTCTTTGTGACAACACATGTGTTATGTTATCCACAAGTGACAGCTGTCATTGAATGCTAATCCAACTGGACATTTTATTTTGATGAGAAATGAATGCAGTTTGTATTATTTCTTCCCCAGGTTGACATGTAAAGAGTTTGAAAAAATTATTTGGGTTTCCACAGACAAGTTAGACAAGTCCTCTGTCTATACAAACTCTACAGTAGCAGAGGTACTTAATCCTATGTTTTTCAGATATGATTGTACTTTTCTTTTTCATAGTGGCAAGTTACAAGGTCTGACAAATGAGTATGTTCATTTTTTTAAATTTTGCGGTGAGATGTGGTTGATCTATTTTTTTAAATTTATGAAACAAAACGATTAGGATAATAGCTGACAAATTGATTCGTTTCTATTATAATGTACGGCCTTAAAGTTATCTGTATTTTCTCCCCAAATGATTATGGTCCAAAACAAAGGTCTAACCAGTTGTTTGTTGTTGTTTTTTTTACAGATATCCTCTTGGTTCCTGGCTCTGACACTTCTCCTTCAGTGCTTGCTGACATCCGTGCAGCTGTACCACGACTTTGTGGCATCCTATCAGGTGGCTGAGGTCCCTCACAAGAAGATGGACGAGGTGGACGACACAGACAGCATATGTCTGGAGCTGGGTCACACCAACAGGGGTTCCGACGAGTACATTCTCTCAGAAGATCATTTCACGCCCGACGTTGCTGAGTACAACATGGAACTCAACAGGCGCATGCTGGCGGAGGTCATTGTCCACCAGAACATCCTTGCCATAGCCACGGGAGACCAGCTGCCAGCTAAAACTGACAAACAGAGACCCATTGTTTTAGATACAGAGACTTTCAAGAAGAAAAGCAAATCCAAAAAACTGTCACCTGCGGACAGTGTGACTCTGTGCGACCAGGGACTGCCACCTGCGGAGGCAAAGAAACCAAGAAAGTTGATAGAACTTAAGACATTGAGACAACATGTGACCCTAGACGTCCCTGACAGCAGCATCAACAGTGACAACTCTCCAAGTGATTCAGAAAGTCAACACCTAAAGTCTGTCCAGGATATCATGAATTCCAGATCTTGTGAAGATGGCAAATGGTGATTGATAACATTTGGGTATTGATGGCAAATGGTGATTGATGACATTTGGGGATTGATGGCAAATGGTGATTGATAACATTTGGGGATTGATGGCAAATGGTGATTGATGACATTTGGGGATTGATGGCAAATGGTGATCGATGACATTTGGGGATTGATGGCAAATGGGCAATGCTGAGAAAGTCAATTGATGGCATTCAAGCAACAGGTTGATCTTCATACCAGGTTCAGCATTATGTGATCGAGGTTTTCTCAACATAATTTATTAATATGTTAACAAGAAACGGGTATTTCACATATTTCAACAAGATAATTGTTTCTAATCACACATAAAAATTATGATTTTCCTACTAAAATATTTAGGCTCTGCTTTGAGAAGTCAACAGAGAATAGGAACTTGCATTAAAAGGCCAAAATTGAATTCATTAATTTTAGTTCAGTGCCTTAGATGTTTATTAATGAGCTTTCAAAACTTACTTTTGAATAATTTACATACCAGTACACATTTTTATTGACTTATATGTGAGACTAGAATTATGTTGTTGTTTTTTTCCCCAAAATTCTCAATGATGATTCCTTTCATTTTATTTGAAGAATTTTTCTGATTTAACTTAAATGTCACTTGCCAAATTATTTCCCATTGGTATAAATTTCTGTCTGTGTATCTGATTATGCTCACTGCCTGGACTGTACAGGCCGAATAGCCAACCAGGACTTAAATGGCTGCCTATTACATTTTTAAACGAAGTTTTGGTATCAAGATAATTCCCTTTATAAGGGAGGTGTACAAGTTCTTCATGTAGATAAAATGGTTTGCTCTTTGTCGTGTGTTAGTGTGCTGCAGGGGAGTTCCATGTCTGGAATAACAAACGGGGGAGATTAATTTTGTCTGGATTAACTTGAAAACAAAAGAGAAAAAAAGCTAAATTTTTTAATTTGTCATACAAATTTATTTTGCATGTCTTGGACAATTTATGCATCTCATTTTCAAGCTTGTTTTACCTGTTGACACATTTCCTTAATTTTTGCCCCATCAGAATCTTCTTTCATTTTTCATAAATTTATTATGACAGATTTGCAAATGTTATGACATTTGTTGACATGATTCATTTTACATGTGACAGTTGTGTCGATGAGACCAACTTTATTATTTCTAGGTCAGTGGTTTCAAACTCAAACCACGGAGACTAAGCTAGGACTATATGCAGATACGACAGGAAAAAACTTGCAATATGAGACCCCCCCCCCAACCCCGATTCAGGCAGCAATTTTGTGATTATTGAAGGGAACCGGACACAGTTTAAATGTGTGGTCACCCCAATCTTTGAACAGAAAAGGACCATATTAACGAGCCGTACACAAGGGACTTTTAAATCTCAATTTAACATTAGTTGTAGTTAATACATGAATTCTTTACTCTTCAAAGAACTTACTTAAGATCCCAGATTTTTTTAATAAATTGTACAATGAGAATTAATTGAATTATTAATGTTAACACATATTTCTTACTGAACACCATTAAACTTACCATATCTATAACTTTATTTAACTTGTTTAAAATTTGTATAATTTTTCTGATATACCTGATAGAATGCAATCATCAGTTCATAAATGTGAGGTTATCAATACCTGATGATGCATCAGGTCATTTTGCGACTGGTAATGATGGCTTTTGTTTATCTATAATACTAATTATTGTTTACTACGTGATCTGTAGAATTGAGATTATATTTCTGAATCAGTGGGCATTTATTAAACTTTTCTATTACCCTTTCTATGATACCTTACAATGCAATATGTTTAATTGTTATCAAATAACTTACTTTTGTCTTAATTTAATAACCATTCCTCTGTTACATAACCAATATTCAATATCCCAAATATGATTTTATGTTAAAATCCACTCTCTTTTACAACCAAACTGTTACATAAAGTCCCTCACATGACAAGATAATTTCTGTGAACTCTGATTATTGACCATGAGCCATCACTGTGACTCACTTTGGTCTCAGCTGTTGTGTAGTTTCTCTAATGGGCTTTCATCCTGGTGAAGGTTGTTACAGGACTGCTGAAAGGAGCAGTAAGACAGTTAGGCAACGACAAATAATAGCTATTCTATGAATTCCATCTTTTATTGTAACTCACCATTGGAATGTATTGTGTAACAGGATCTGACAGGTAACTTAAATGTGTTTGTTTTGCATAGCAGGTAACTGTGTACTGTACAAGTGGTCTAGCAGGTAACTTGTATGATCTGAATGGGTCGTGTGTTGAATTATGCCTGAACCCCTCCTGAGATTGTATAAATGAATGACTTAGTTTTGTTGTTTAACGATCCTATACTTAAACAGGGTTTCTCAAGTTTACTAGCAGAGACATTTTTGTTCAGGTTTTCTTGTAATAGCAAAGAAATGTATCTCCAAGGTTCCTCTACTGTGCAAGTCATTTAGTAATCTTAGTCTTTAATGAAGAGAAATATAAGTCTTAGAAATGTTCAAAAGTCATCTTGGTGTTTCATTATTCCATACTAAAGTTTTATGCCACCCGTAAAATTAACTGATAACTGTGGCTCACACAGGACCATAATAGTATGTCACACAAGAATTAAGTATGAATGCACAAATATTAACATTCATTAAATTATCTATTTTTCCAGTTTGTTAATAAAATGAACTTTTTACCAATCCATCACGGCTTTAATTCTTTTGTGTTAACAAAAATGTGTTCTCTATTATATTAATTGGTTTCTTTCAAGTTTTTTAAAATATAATTTCTGGCTGGGTGCTTTTAGCTCATCCTTGTTGCCCCTCTCTTTCCCCCCAACATTATAAACATTCAGGATATTATTTATGCCCCTCCCCCTTTTCCTCCCTTTGGTATCAGCCACTTTGAGAAATAGTGTAGTGCCTCCAAGATCATGAACTTAAAATTTGAATGCATTTTGTCTTTGGTGCAGTGCTATTCAATCATTTTACCCCTTTTATTGAACTTTACTAGAGAGGGGTTTCTTTGTCATGTTTAGTTATTTGAGCCGATATTTGTCTAGGTTCCCAAAATCATAGTGATTCACAGCTTAGTCTTGATCAGCGTAGCATTCCTTTCACTTTATCTAACTGGCCTGGCCCGGCCCATTTGCTGAATTCAATACAAATTATATTTTAAAACTTAAAAACATGGATTAGTTTTGAAATGGAATAGTCATTTAAAATTTATATTGACCAGAAACATGTACTTAGGCTACAATTACAATCACTCTGGCTCCATATTTCATTTAATTTTAGATTGAAATTCAAGACTGAATTCAGTAGGGAAAAAATTGTGCAAAGTCGAGATGCCACAGCAGCTTATTCAAATTTAGTCAAGGCCTGCTCAGTGGATTATTGTTTTTTTTAAAGAATTGTCCTATTGAAGCTTTGAAAGAAAAAAAAAAAGGCAGATTCAATTGTTAATTCCATAATTTCTTTGTAGAAACTTTCAACATTGTATTTCCAGCTGTAATATGTGATTGTAATTTGCAGGAGAAAGAATTGGTTTATTACAAAGTTAACTTGTATAGTTTGCCACCATAAATCAGTTTGACTACCACTTAACACTAGTCATAAAAGGTCAAGTCTGTTGTCATGACAAACGAGGAAGATTCAGATCTGACCGACGAATGTCTACCGAAAGATTTGTCTCGGATGACAGTGAAATACTGAGCCAGCATGGTTGTAGCCTTAGCAGTACATCATCTATGGCAGCATTTCCCAAATTTTTAAGTTTGGTGGACAAGTTTTGAAAATTTACCAGTGAACAGTAACAGGTTTATGAATTATATTTTCTTTTTGTTTGACCATAAATATTCATTTTGTGTGAACCGGCGTGGACGGGCACCAGTCCATGGACCACCATTTGGGGAACGATGATCTATAGGATGGTTAAACGCTGTGGCCATTGGCCCTATTTTATGTTTTGATCTAAAAGCGGAGTACTAAAATTATGTTGTTTTTTTACATGTTATCCATCATTAACCTTCATTTCATTCATAAGTTTCATATTTCAGAATCAAAGCAAAATAGAATACATAAGTGATATTTTATTACATCATAGAGTAGACAAAAAGATATATTAGAAGAAAAACAAAGGGGGGGGGGGGGGGGAAGAGGGGGGGGGGGGGGGGGGGACGAAAAACCTTTTTAAAAAATAAAGGTATTGATAAGTTGTAATGTGAGTGAAAAACAATTGAGGGCTGTAATAAAATGTCAGTACATGGGATACCAAAAGCTTAAGCAAAGTCTCCCCTTACATGTTCATTGTTTTTAGCAGACTGCTAACCATAATATACTGGTACTCTAGCTGAGGGATCTGCAACCAACGGCACATGCATGCAAGAAGAGGCACAGAGAGCATTATTCAATGGCACACACAAGACCAACAAAATAATAATAATTTACTTTACTTTAAACAAATGTGCCACATGAGTTAGACATATATTTTTTGCAAACTGATTGAAGTAGGAATCCCACTTTGACACAATATTAAAATTACCAACAGGTTGCTGACCCCTGCACTAGCATAATTCCTCACTGGCAAATTCTTGCGAGAATCGTAATTTCTATAGTGATTATATCATGGTATGATAAAAATTAATTAAAATAACATTTTAAGAATAATTAGATTTCCAATATCGTAAAAGGCTCTCTCCCATGAGGTGCAGTTGAGAAATATTTGTTTGTACTGAGCAAGATGAGATAGAAACACATATGGCTCAGAAGTGATAATTTTTTATCATCTCCGGCAATGTAGCAGAAATAGACAACACAGTTGTGAGCCAGCAAGACAGTAGCGAACACAAGACTTAAATAAATGCAATCATATTTTAACTAGCAAACACAAGACGTCAATATATGTAATCAAATGTTAACAATCTTAAATAGTCCTATCCCAATGCTGTAAAACACTGTCGATGGAGGTGAGATTATATTATAAATAGTCTATATTTAGGATATGATTAAATTCTAAAGTTCAAGTCTTAGTGTGAACTGATTTCATTAAAAAGTACCCATTAATTTAAAACATCTATTGATTATATTTTTTATTTTTTTATAACAAATTTTTATTAAATTATTTATATTATCTGAATTTTAAAAAAATTGAGTTATTAAATGTTACCAAGAATCTATTTCTAAGTGAATTTCAAAATAATTATAAACACTGCAGCAAATAAATTTGTTTCATAACCAATAAAATTTAAAAGAAAAGGGTAGAAATAATACAGATATGGAGATCTATACAAATAAAATCAATAAAAGGCACCCAAGTGATAACATGAATAAGTTTCTCCATTAATATTTCATCTCACATATTCATTGAGCCCAAATTATGAGTACAGATATTATAGAACTTAAAATGCCACAATAAATAACATTGAATAATATTAAATATAAATTACATGTTTTTAGTGAAATGCAACTATAGTAAAAGATCTGGAAAAATGCCAACAGAATAAATCAAACACAACAGACTTCAAGAGGTAATTTCCTAAAAAAACTTCATATGAATAATTATTATCCATTGTCAAAGACTTAGATCAAATATATGAATAATTATTATTCATTGTCAAAGACTTAGATCAAATATTCCTCCTGTATTAAGTAGATTCCTTTTACATATAAGAAATTCTGGATTTTAAACCTTCACAGATCTGATGGTGGGAATGTTAGGCATTTCTTACACACAAAATATGCCCAGTACAGGAGAACATGGTTGTAAAGACTTGTAAAGGTCTCATTGCTTGTAAAGGTCTCATTGGTTGTCAAGACTTGCAAAGATTCTATTGGTTAAGATCATTCCTCTTGACTGAAATGAAAAAAAGGAGTAATAAAAGATACCCCAATGTCATCTTTTAAATACAGCAAGTGTACGTTATTTTCATCAACGCAGGTTTTTACAAATTTTTTTTGGTTTAAATTTGGAGATGCTAAAGGTACAATGTATTCACCATCAACCAGTCATATATTCCATTACTTGGAGTAATTCCTAGCTGCGACTTAAATGTCCCATGATTCCATCCACTTGACCTTGTACATCATACTTCCCTCTTCTGATGCCGTAGGTCCTGACATTCCATAGGCAAGGGGATGAAATAGGTAGAAGCTGAGAACAAAGAGACAGAACCCCATTTCAGCTCTAAACTCAAGTTTGACCAAGTCACATCTTTCATCTTGAGAATATAAATGTCTTAATTAGAGGTTCTCAATCAGGGTTCCCTGTAATACTAGCCTGCTGTGAAAGTTAACTATTGCCAAAAATAATAGTGATGAAGTTAATAAAAATAAAGAAAGATAAATAAAAATCTTAATTCATGAGAAATTAATATTATTTTAATCACAGAAACACAATTTATAAGGACTACTAACCTCCATAAGATAACAACAGCCACTATAAACAAACAAAGGTGAAAAACTTTGATGGCTACACTCTCTGGTACACAGACACAGCTGAGTGTGACAAGGAAGTCCAGCACCACACCTGGAAGTAGTACCAGCAGCTTACACATGGGGGAATAATTATTGGATCCAATGTTCTTCAACTATTGTGTTTAATGCAACCGCACTTGAGAAAACAAGGCCCCCCAGTTTAACTTTAAAAATTGTTTTAGAGTAAATTTTAGATCACAATATATTGATTACAAATTATCTTACACACCCCTTGAACATCATATACATGTTTGCGTAATTAAAATCATTTATATTCATCAAATTTCAAGTATTAGGGAGGGGAAAAAAATTCTGTTTAATAAATGTTTGACTTTCAAAGAGATTTATTAACCAAATGACATTAGTCCATCCCAGGGGTTGAAAACTTTTTTTATATGTTAAAAATAATATTCTGGAAGCCACAGGAATTGTAAATGAATATAAAAAAGAGCCCCATCTATTCCTTCATGTGCGGCGGCTCTGGAGTCGCAAATTTCTGACCATGGGTCTATTTAAATCACTAACCAATCCTACCTCCAAACATGGCACTGTAGAGGAATGCAGGGAAATAATGATGGAAGTACAAGACTCTTGCCATTCCCCAGAAGGGTGCGTAGTGCAGGAACCAGGCAAGGAGCAGCCACCAGCAAACTTTAAATGTTCTCTCACAGTAACCTGTCAACAAATTGGTTCACTTGTCATAATGTGGTGTGATCAAGTCAGGTATTTAGTAATGCTATAAAGGATATTGCCTTGAAGCCATGGTAGGAGGTGTCGCTCTTATGATGTCCAGAGAAAACAATGTTGCAAAAACTGCGTGTGTACTTAAGTCAAGATGTCAAAATATAAAAATTAATTAAGCTCAGGAGGAATATAAAGGTCATCACAGCCATCAAGAAAATATTTTATTCATGTTAAGTTTTTCTCATTTCTATTGGCCTATTCTAAATATTATTTTCTTAAGTTCCCTTTAATGAAAAATCTTTGCTGTTGTTTTTTTTGTCTCCCTTTACCAGGTTGTGTGTAGTTTGTCACCTCCACCAACACATTGTGACAAACCATCCTGAGTGCGAAATACAGCAATATTAAATGATGTAACAAAAGAAAATATTTACTTCTCAAATTTTTATTAATGGGTACATTCCTCTTCCGACATACAGCATAGCCTGTCCACAGGATCAGAAAAATGACCTTGAGCGCAAGCAATGACCAGAAGATCACGGGATTACCCAACATGTAGATTCGATGGTCTTGACCTGAAAATACTTGACCCTGAAAAATTACCATAAACCCATGGTCTTTTATCTGATAACAAGTTTTTGGGTGGGTTTTTTTGTTAACTTATCTCTTGTTATAAACAGCTCATTCAGATCTACACTGTAATCTATCCCTAGTTATAAAATAGGCATCTTGACTCACCCTGTAATCTATCGGCCACTGCCAAGGCCTGGAGGTCAACTCTCCCTCCTTAGGCTTGAGTCCACTGTTCCCCTGTGTCATCACTGCATGGCTCTCCAGCAGTTTCTCCACAAAAGATGGAGAATACACTTCAAAACTGACATTGGGCACTGCACGAAACAGATATACCCAGTGGGGTAAGAATAACAACAGGCCTGTAGGCAGATGTTCTCAATTCACTTGAAATGACATCATGAAAATATCATACCTTAAAAGTTATAATTGTAAAAGGCCACCTTTAGAATTTACTTTGCCATCTAAAAACTTTAAAATATATTGGCCTGGCCAAATGACAAGAGAAAGGCACACATTGAATAATAAAAATTTAATAATTTAAAATAAGATGAACAGCTATGGTGTCTCCAAAACAAATTATTTATTAGCTGAGCTCCCCGTTTCTATGGCAACAGGATCCTATGTTTCATTAGTTTTCCAGACAGGCAAACGGCTGGGACACGGTCATGTAAACTTTTTATTGGTTATCTGTCAATACTTACATCTAGCATCCGTGACTTCCTCAACACTCCAGGCTGAAGTTGAATCTCTTAGGTTAGGTTGACATGTGACCTCCAACTGTTCCCAACCCCTGGAACACAAATGTATGTCATAAACTACTTTGCTATAATAATTTGACGGACTCTGTGGCTCTAAAAGCTTCTGTAGCTATCCAGACTTACTTACAGAATAAAGATGCATTGGTTATATCTGCCTAGGAAATTTTCTTCTCAATTTCTACTCCCCATATCTCACACTTTTTACCCTCATCATTTCTCCAACTATTTCCCCTCTTCATTTTTTTCTCCCTATTTCCCTCACCATTTCCCTTCACCATTCCTCTTACCATTTTGGTAGTTTTTTATCATGAGAATGCAACAGACATCTGACGTGGTAGTGAATAAATTTGATCTTTGATCTAACAGTTTGAATTAGGTCACCTCTGCTGGCACTTTCAACCTCAACTTGCCAGATATCATTAGCATCTCCAGTTCCATTCTGAAATTTAATATTGAAACCCATAACAAAAAGATTATAATTATTAATTTTTAAAAAGTGTTATAAAAGCAGGGCTTTTAATTTTGTCCTAAAATGTAATCCAAAAATATGTGATAGCAGGTAGGTAGTTTCAACAAAACTCTTGAATACTGCAGACCTGTTTACTCTTACGATTTCGGCGTACAATGTACGATTTTGAGGTGTATACATTATATATATTGTATGTTTATTTTTTTACTATTAAGATAATGTTAATGTATTGAACGATTTTGTGATGATATTGTACGATTTTTAAGAGTTGGAGTGTAAACAGGTCTGATACTAATGTAAAAAATTTATTCCTACTTTCAAATTTTATTTCATAAATAAATTTTGTATACCTTTGGAGATAAACTTTAGCGATACTTACTGGAAAGGATTTTCTAAACTGTTCAACATTCATACCATAAGCTGTAAACAGGACAAAAAGTAGAATGGCAATGTTTACCTGTCCGTAGCCAGAAATCTGGAAATGATGTTTGCTCAGTGGAGCTGGTTCTCTGTGGCTGTGCAGGTTGCGACGGGTCCTGGAGATGAAACATTTATAGGACATATGTCATAAGACGATAAGTTAACCTAGGACATATGTCATAAGACGATAAGTTAACCTAGGACATATGTCATAAGACGATAAGTTAACCTAGGACATATGTCATAAGACGATAAGTTAACCTAGGACATATGTCATAAGACGATAAGTTAACCTAGGACATATGTCATAAGACGATAAGCTAACCTAGGACATATGTCATAAGACGATAAGTTAACCTAGGACATATGTCATAAGACGATAAGTTAACCTAGGACATATGTCATAAGACAATAAGTTAACCTAGGACATATGTCATAAGACGATAAGCTAACCTAGGACATATGTCATAAGACGATAAGCTAACCTAGGACATATGTCATAAGACGATAAGTTAACCTAGGACATATGTCATAAGACAATAAGTTAACCTAGGACATATGTCATAAGACGATAAGCTAACCTAGGACATATGTCATAAGACAATAAGTTAACCTAGGACATATGTCATAAGACGATAAGCTAACCTAGGAAAATATTTCATAGAACAATCTTTAATACTCATAGTAATAACATTAAAAAAAAGTTGTGACTATTTCATAATGAGGGGTGACCTTTGGATGACATTTAATATAAACTGATATTCAAGAGGTGTGACAGATTACATGGGATGTAACTTACGCTATGTGTTCAAGTCGCACCAAGTCTCCGCTATGAACATATATGAGCTCATCATTTGGGCCTGGCTCTCGATCATGTGGTTTGATTCTCCACTTGTTGTTTTCATCCTTGTGGCTGTACGAGGTCACCTAGAATATAAATATTTTTATTTTAAATTCAACAACTAATTTAATTTTAAAATGTATGTATTTTAGTGCATTTTTATACAGCCCTGGTTACCCTGGAACTCCTATAACAGTATAAGATCGTTTCAGAATAGTACTTTACCATCCCAAAATCTTACAATACTGTTTCGTAATAGTAAAGAGATAAACATACGTTAGAATGTATACAATAAACATAAACATAGTATGCCTAAAACAGGACACTTACCAAAGCCTTTTCACCACTTTGATAGACACAGATAAGGTGGAAAAAATTGAAAATGCCTGGCTAAGTCACACAAGCAAAAGTGGGGAAGTGTTTAGGGCTTGAGGGCTCCCTTTTTATTTTATTAGTTACTAAATAGTCACAAAAATGTATAACTTTTATTTAAAGATTACTTAGTTCAATCATTTTTTGTTTTAATCAGTCTAAAAAAAGGGACTGGTACACTAAAATGGTGCATACCATCATAAAAAAAAATATGATGTAATATATATTTAAAATTTTATGCCAAGATTGAAAATAATCGCTAATTGAATGAATAAATAACTTCATTTGTGATACAATATTTAACGTGGTGGGCCGCAGGTTGGCCACCCCTGCATTAAGCCTAAGAGCCTGATTTTATTTTCCATTAACATATTACAGTCTAATTAATACTGGTACAGCAAACCTCTCCCATGCACACCGGTACATTCCTTAGTCAGCACCAACCCCCTTTCCCCAACCCATCATATTTCTCAGTCCATTCACAGCCGGATGTAGAAAGGAGGTAAAACCAAAAACAGAAAAAGGTGTTTTTTTGTTTTTTTTTAAATGATATAAACTACTTGTATATATTTTTTCAACCCTGTCTCTTAAAACCGTAGTTCTGACAGATCTCAACGTAAAATAATAAAAAATATCTTAAAATCTACACTGTGCGCCAAAATCGTAAGAGTAACCAGGTCTGTTTATAGCTAAGAGTAACCAGGTCTGTTTATAGCTAAGAGTAACCAGGTCTGTTTATAGCTAAACTTTTTATTAAACATTTTTTCAGGGCAAAACTTCATTAATTTTTAAAGAACGTATTCGATAAAGATATTTCGTACAATTAACAAAGCTTTGTTGCACTGACTTGTTGTTGTTTAGGAGGATGCTCCTCAGGATAAAGGTGGGGGTGTGAGTGCAGGTAAGCACCCCCAGTTCTCCTCTGTTTTAGAGTAATTTCACTGCCATAAGCTATGTCTGTAACAATAATAGTAAGCTATGTCTTTAACAATAATAGTAAGCTATGTCTTTAACAATAATAGTAAGCTATATCTGTAACAATAATAGTAAGCTATGTCTGTAACAATAATAGTAAGATATGTCTGTAACAATAACAGTAAGCTATGTCTGTAACAATAATAGTAAGCTATGTCTTTAACAATAATAGTAGGCTATATCTGTAACAATAATAGCAAGCTATATCTGTAACAATAATAGTAATAGTAGTAAGCTATATCTGTAACAATAATAGTAAGCTATATCTGTAACAATAATAGTAAGCTATATCTGTAACAATAATAGTAAGCTATGTCTGTAACAATAATAGGATATAAGGAGCACACAGTAAGTGAAAACTTGATAAAAGACAAAACAAAGCAACCAACATGTCACCAAGAAGCCTTTTTCATTGAACAAGAAATCAAGACAAGTACAAAAATTTGACAAATGAAAGCTAACTTTGAAGGAAAAATAAATAAACCTAAACCTAGCTTATGAACCTATTATTCTTACAAAGAAATTAGATAATATTTATTTTGAATGAATTTGTACAGATTAGAACAAGAATAACAAGCGATAAGAAGAATACTTTTAAGAGAAGTCACAAGAAAAAAAAATTATTAACAAGACCAATATTATATCTCTTTGATTCAAGAGTGCATTAAAATTATATGAAAGATAAATAACACATTTTAAAAAAATGATTTCGGTAATCAAGTGCAGTCATAAAATGACAAGCTCCCACAGAACTTTTGTTTGTTTAATTTATTTATCATTGTAATAGTTGAGATAACAATATCTTAAAGAGTGCACTTAATGAACTGCAACAGGGAATAGTATGTTCAGAACTTTCTGATTTTTCTAAGAGCCCAGTTCATGAATTAGGCAAGGATTTATGTCACTTTTGCACATTTCTTGTACAGGGCAATATCATTCACAATATTGGTGTTTTAAAGTTTATATTGAAACAGAGAAGCGTATCTCCCAAACATAATTATGACCAGAGCTCACTTACATTGGGGCATGCTGACATTGTAAAGTCTGTTGCCAATAAGTTGTGACTGAAACCCAGAACTGAAGAAGCCATCACCATTACCACTGAAAAAGTTGATATTACATTTAACTAAAAGCAAAGTATTTTAAATATCTGAATTAAGGTAGTTTTTTATTTCACAAGAATTTAATTAAGAATCGGTCTAACCTACAATTAATTAATTTTTTATTTATTTTTTTATTTTTTTTTTTTTAATTTATTGCAAAAATGTTAACTTAATTAACATAAGGATTTAGCTAAATCTTAATAATTTCAATCACTCGCCAAGTTGGCTTCTGTCTTATAATACTAGTGGTTGAGTTGTTTTTTTTTACCCCTCCTCCAACCAAAATAGTCACGATAATGAATCACAGGGGTGACTGGTTCAAAAAATTAAATTTTGGAACACTTCTTGACAATGTAAATTAGATTAATTAGACATGAACAATTTGTGTCAATATAACAATATATGTTAAGCTTAAATAATAATTATACATAATACACAAGTAGACATTTCGGCACAGGCCTTCATCAGTACAACAACAAAACATTTAAATAAGTATAAATTAAATTTACATCATATATACCCGGTATATACATATATCCTACCTGAAAAAGGGATAAAAAAATAAGTGGGCGAAAAAAAACAGACAGAAACAAAGTAAAGAAGAATGGAAAGTTCAAATATGTAGCATCAGTTTTTACCTGTGGTCTAGAACTTTGAAATGAATCACAAATAACAAACTGTACACTATAACAGGAACTGCAATCAGGCACATGACCCTGGCTGTGATATGTCGAAATAATGTCACCTGATGATGAGAAATTAAGAAATAATTTTTTTTTTAATTGAAATTCTTGCAACCAGCTTCAGGTCCAACAAAATAATTTTCTAGGTGGTGTAAAATCTCCTGACTGAGTTACCAAAATGAAAAAAAAATCTTTTAATTGTTATGATCACACCATCTAGGACTGACACTACTTAAAACTTAAACCTTTAAAAATTTTATGTAACTATAAACCACATATGCAAAATAAAATTATGTTTAAATATGAAATACAATTTTTTTTTTTAAATTGAAAAATTATGTTATATTGATTTACTCAGAAGTAAATATGTGAAGATTAAATTATTCAATTAAAAAGACATTTATTTCGTAATTATGATAGAGACTGCCTTGCCAGGTAAGAGAACACATGGATTTACCAATGACATGGACAAATCTCCCAACAGGGTCCACAAATCTTTAGCTGTGGTGTAGCCAACAAGCAAAATCACAAACAAACCAACAAATTTGACACTGAGAAAATTAGAAAAAATTGATACATTCATTGTGATGTTATATTGAAAATTCTCTTTTCATCATTCATTTACTTTCATCTATCAACCAGAATTTACTCCAGTATAGTAAAAACAGTTTTATACAAGATGTTATTATTACATAAGACGCTGTCATGTGTAGGGATATTAATCATATGATGAAATATTTTCATATTAGTTATTTTTATATTAGTTATTTTCATCTGATGAAATGTTTTTAAGTAAAAATATGAATAATATATCAAGAGAAAAACCTGTATGTGTGAAAAAAAAACATTATGATTTTGAGAACTTAAATTAACTACTAAAAATTACTTTGTAAATATATAAAAAAGATTTTTTAATTACCCAATAGCGCAAGCCAATGAAACTCCAGTGGCAGATAGCCAAATCCACCACGGTAATGAAAATGGCCTGAACATAGCAAAAGGGGATATTTAAAATGTTAAGTCAACAATAAAAATTGATCATTTCCAAAAGGTTTCATAATGTGTTATTTTTTTATTTTTTAACCAAGAAAAAATGGCCATGTTAAAAAATGATTCAAGAATGCACGGTGAACAGTGTGTAGTGAAACAATCACAGATAATAAACAGAAACTTTCAAGATTTAGTCGAATAGTAAGATTATATGAATTTAAAACATAATGTTACAGTGTTTTTAAATCATAGTGTTACAGTGTTGTCATTTACTAACCTGTTTCTGAATGTGAGAAACTTGAGGCAGTTGTAAGTGGAAGACATGATAAAGAACATAAGAATGGGATCCAATAAAATATGTCTGGATAATGCCAGGGTCCCTGTGTCTAAAGTAAACAAAGTGGTACTAATTGAAATAAGACATGTGACCTCATAGCCACATAACAGACATTCTCAAACTGGGAAAGATGTACACTTAATTACTGATCTCCAAAAGAAATTTGACCAATGTATCAAATTATTAAATTCGAAAAATTATGTAAACAACATGTTTGTATTAATTATTTAAACAAAGATCTTCTATTTTAAGTGCATGTTTCCACTATATGATTATGATAAAAATATCGTGAAATATTAAAATTTGAGATAAACTGATTTAAACTGAATTAATTAAATCTGATTTAAAAATTAATATTAAACAAAGACAAGCAAATACTAGTTAAACACAAAATAAACTGGTTTTTATTAATCTATAAACACATGAAAACTTACCAAATAAAATAAGAGCAGCAGCTAAGATAGATGCCAGTATGGAATGTGTGAGTAGCCAGACACACTGGTATGCCAGTGTGATAAGGAATGAACCCAGAATTGCACAAAACTGAAAATAAGGAAACATACTTTTTTTTAAACACTATTGAAGATATAAATTAAAATTGATTGGTAAAACCAATCTACATGGGTCTCTTGTGTAGCCATATACTCCATGCCTTGCTATTTATTAAAATTTTTGACTAGTTCCTGATGTGTTTAAAGACCTAAAAGCTTCATGTGACTAATTTTACCAATTTTTGTATGATTGTAGATCAACACAAGGTAGAACTAAACAATTTTTTTTTAAAATAAGTCACTTTTGTCAACTTTGGTCACATTCTGAAATTAATATTACCATAACCTTGCTGCTGAATACACAAGGCTTGATTCCAGTGACATATCAATTATTTTAAATTGATACCTAAAAACTTTAAAACTCAAACTAAATACTTATTGACACTTCAAAGGTCTTATAACTACTTTGTATAATTATTGGTGCATTTAAAGTCAGATCTGTTCTTGAGCTTACCACTCTCATCCCAACATAACTAGAATCTGGATACTGGTCTCCAGGTTTGTGAAATGGAAAGCTCCCATCATAACCTGTCATCACTCCAGCCAAGCCAATAAGCATCTGGCCCATGACAAAAACAAAAATCAAAATATGAATGCTGTGTAAGGACGAAAAACTTTTCAAATTTTCATATTGTTGTATTTGCGCTTTTTCACTATTAATGTACAGCAGATTAAATTTAACTATTATAACTGATCCTCATAGTAGCAAAAACTAATTTATGTATTACTTGAAATATCTGGTTGTTTGCACTTGTTTTCATGATAACCAAAGCAATCAGCCCTTTAACCCTCAACAACTCCAACTTAAAATAAAATGAAACTTTAACGTACCTTGCCTAAGGGTGGATGAACGTCAAAGAAAAATGTCCGGTTAATATACCAACTGCCCATCTTCCCAAAATGAGTTTCATCCCAACTGAAAAAGGAAAAAGTAATTCATTTCAACAAATTTTTTATTACATATTAAATAGCATTAAGCTCCCAAAACTTAAATTTACCTGTAACAACAAACTGGTAACATATTAGAGATCTTTACAATTAAACATTATAAAAATATCATTGAAGCTAAAAATAATTTCAATTTGACACTAAGGAACAAGTCTTTGAAAAGTGAAGATAGTTTTCTACCTCTTCAATGACAATAATATTTCAATATTTACATATATTACATAACTTATCCAATAAAAATTATTATTATTTTTTTGTAATCTTACCAAACATGAGCAGGCAATTCAATATTATAAATTCTTGTAATCAAAGAAATGAGTAAGAGAATAAACCAGCACAAATAATATGCTTTAGTCTCTTTCCATGTCTGTTCTTCATCAGAGATATTACTCAAACTTTCATCCTCACTCTCAGAATTATCATTAGCACTATTCTGTGTGCCCACTTCATGCTGAGCGGCAACGGATTTCACAGTCTTGTCATGAAACCTCTGAATTACATTTCTGCGTCTTAAATTTGTTGATTTTGAAAACTCTGTATTTTGCACTTTTTTTGGAGCTTGACATTGCTTTAAGCTAAGTTCTCTATTCTCAAATGATGATTGTGAGGTACTTTTTAAACTGCTGGCATCAGTGTCACTTTCAGAATCACGAACTCCTGAGGAATCACTTGTTTGTATGAGAGATGTATTTGTTGCTTGCTGCTGATGGCTTAATCTGTGCGTTGATACAGCTTTTGAATGAGTCAGCCCTTTAGATAAAACTGATGTATCAGAAAAGGACTTTCCTGCTTTTAATGTATTTTTGGAAGCTGGTAAGTTGGGTGACTGAGACATCTCTAAGTAGCTCATAGAACTTCTCCTTCTATTTTTCTTTGAAGACTAATGCAATTTGAATAAGTTCATCACATCATCGATTAACCTTAAAATGAATGATCATCATTTTAAATGTTGGATTTCTATTAATACGATGTATTCTCTTTAGATTGAAAAAAATAGAAATTCTATTATTAAACAGTCTATATAGTTATAGCATTGTGATATTGTAAGGAGAGTCAACTATAAAGTAATATGTTAGCCTCTGCAACTTGACACAACTATAACAAGTCACTAGTGAAATTTACTTAGTTTAGCTTGGCCTGGCCTAGGACCACTAATCTGACTAAGCCTAACAGAATGGGTCTTTTTGAAGCCTTAGTAGCAGGGGCCCTCAAACTAAGGCCTACGGGCCAGACCTGCCCAGCCAGGTGTCCTTAACCTGGTATGCCAGCATAGCAGTGATAAATACAAAAATGGATATTTACCATCTATTTGGCCAAATGCAGGCCCATACTTCCCATTGAAATACTAATACTATTAACTTTTTTTTTTAAGAGTTCTATTTAAATATTGATATTTTTTCTTTTTCTTTACTACATATAATTTAAGTGCAGTGTGCATAGGAATTAATTATACTCTCAAAAGATAGCCTGGCCCCTAACAGCGTCTGAGGAACAGTAAATCCCCCGTCCCCCCCAACCCCACTGTGTCTAATGGACAGTGAACCAGTCCCCTGATTAAAAATTTAGAGGACCCCTATTGTATAAGCATAAGTATAGTGTAAAGGGCAATGATTTTATAAATATGTTCAGAAACAAAATAATTTTTTAATAATAAAAAATGTCATGTGTAAATTCAAGAGAGAAGGGGACCATTCTTAAATTTAAAATTAAAACATTTAAGTTTAGGATTTGCTTATAATATATTTCCAAAGATATGGGCATGGCAACTTCAACTGGCAAGGTAAGAGACCTGTAGTCTGTAGTAGTAGCACTAGTTAGTAGTAGTAGTAGGATACAACTTAACCACATTATTACTTGTAGTAAAAGTAGATCATAGTGTTTCTTCTACTTCTACATCCTCTTTTGTTTGTTTTTTTGTGACACCACTGCCTAAGTCAGACAAAGCCTCTACTAAGTCTAAGCGAGTTTAAGCCTACTTAGCACTTAGTGAAGGAAGTCTGTTATTTTAAGATTTAAATTTTAAGCGAAACCCCTAAACTGGCCCAACTCAATTTTAAAAGTTAGGGTCATAAGCTTTGACTCTGAGCTGACTATTTTGACTAGAGTCTTGAGTTTGAGAGTTGCTGAGTTTGAGAATGAGATGAGAACACACTGCACCGAAAAATTAATTTGAACACCTGTTTTAAAAGTTGTTTTATCACTGACCGACCCGAACGACGAAAAGTATTTGTTAATTTTACGCACGGGTTAATAAGTCAAGTATAATATTTATTGAAATTTATTTACCAGCATGCATAATAGCAAAAATAAAAACAATAAATTTTAAAAATTATTTCATAATAAGCATTTTATAATAATTACTATTATCGTCACTATTAAAATACTATTATTGTTTAACAGGGCGAGATTCTGTGAATGATTTCCTTTTCATGTTCATATTAAAACTTAAAATATCCAACAAAAGGGGAAGGAACAAATAATATATCTAACCAGGGCTACCACACCTTGGGAAATTTCCCAAGGTCTTGGGAATTCACGACCCCCCTTGGGATCTGGGGAATAATTTTGAATATCAGTCAAAACCTTGGGAAATCTTAACTGGAGGGAAAATTTTGTTATATTTTTCGAAAAACGCAAGAATATCTGATCAAAAATAAAGTTAAAAAATAAAGCAAAATAATTTTTAAAGTGACAAGGCAAAAAAATAATTGTTTTCATTTTCTTTTCTGGTTTTAATTTTTAAATCCACTAATAAAATAAATAAAAACTCTTCTGATATTAAAGTTAATATTGTGAATTATTAAAAAGTTGGCTGCATCTATAGGTACCCGGGTACCTATGGTCGCCAATGACAATTCGCACCCGGAATGACTCCGTACATATTAAATGGCTTCGGAGCCGAATGTGATAACAATAATAGCAATAATAGTATGAGAATTATTTTTTGAAATTGTTTTTTCTCCTTGTTTATTTGATAGATTATTCATAGTTTTATTATTTTTATTTTTTTTTTTTATTTTTGCTTTTTGAATTTCTCTTAGTACCGGTATATTTTTTCTTTCTTATTTTATTTTTTTTTAGTTTAAGCCATTTTCGGAGAACAATTATTTTTTTTTTAAATCTAGTAATGAAGATGATTTAGATACATTTATTGTTTTTATTTGAATTTTAGAAAAGTAATGTATTAAAATTAAATCCTTTATTTAAGATTATTTATGTGTATTGGTTAAGTTAAAAGATTTAATCACACAGTACTTTATGAATTAATTAGGTATTCTAAATAATGAAAATTTCATTCATAATGAATTTATTTCAACTATTCCTCTAGAGAGCTTGGCTTAGTCAGAACAAAACCACCAATTTTAAACCTTTTCCTTGGCACTGGGAGTCATAAATGCGGACACTAACTGTTATTCCTGATATCTTGAATCTCCTTTCAACAACCTTTCTCATTTGACTTGACCTAATTCACAAGGTAGTTGCTATGAACATCTTAAACTTAAAGGATGCCATTGTATAAAGTATGAGAAAGAGACTTATTTTTGGAGGACTAGTCTTTTTTTTTTTACCACATCTGTCTTCTGGGTCTAACACACTGGTACATAATTTAATAGAAAAAAAACCCTTAACTGACTTGCAAACATTTTTGTTTGGTTGTTAGTTATTTGAGTTGTGTACTCAAGTAATCCATAAAATAAATTAGGGGCCAGTATGGAGTAGGCAGCCATTAAACTCATTCAATTAGGTCACATCATTCCTTTGCCATTTGTCTCCTTTTACTTTCTCACCTTCCTTGTTGGTACCCGTACAGTTAACTATTGTTTGTACTGTATCATTTCTTCATTTAAGTACAGACGTAATGATTGAGTGGGAGCAAATATATGTGATCTGTGAAGGGAGTTTGGTTTCAAGGCAACTAAGTCATGCCACATTGAAAATAAAATACTGATAACCTAAATAAATAG